ACGGAGAAAACAGCTGTTTGATTCAGTACCGCGTCCTGTCGCAATTTTGCGACTTTGGCACTTAAAGGGTTAATGAGCTTTGATCCTGCTTAGCAGCTTGATGCCACAGCGACAGGGAGGCTTGCACCGAGCAGACTGGACGGCAGCCTGACAAAGTGAGGGGTGTTGTTTTTGATTTAATCTGTTGAACTTGTGCAGACTTCATTGCCGCTTTGGAGAGCCCCTGAGATAAGACCACCGTGGCTGTTTTAGTGTTTTTTAAAGGTCGGCCAAGCTTGGGGTGGCAGGAGCATAATGTTAGAGAGTTAAACTCAAATCTGAAGATCATGTCTGCAGACCTGATGGAAAAATACTCCTCAAAGCCAGAATCATCACCATGGCAGCAAGATGCTTCAGTCACAACAATGGCAGCACAAAACTTTTTTACTTCTTTTTTTACTAATTACTCTCCCTAAATGCAGTTTAATTACGTTTTTATTTTTACAACCTTCGAATGAGGCTGCAAGAATCTTAAAGAATAGAATAGTTGAAAACATGCCCAGCTTCATTCCTCAGTCGTTTGATAAGCAACTAATTATTGTTGTCCATTGTTTACCTTCAGCATTCAGCTAACTGGAGAAATACAGATGATCACAATATTTCAACTTCACTGACCCTGACATTATGTTTACAGCGTGACATTTACTGTGCAGGAAATGTTTGAAGGATAAAACATGGGGGAGACTCTAAATCTGCTTCAAATTAGACCTGGTATTTGTGTCACAAAGTTCACTGCACAACAGCCAGCTTAGATAAACAGAGGTATTTGTAAAAAGCCTGCTGTGGTGTGGTAGTAGATCCTTAAAGTAACAACTGATATAAAAGTGAAGTTTTGATTGGTATGTGGAGTTGTGTGTGACACAGCAGCAGTGGTTATACTGTTCAGAAAACATTAGCAGTCCAGATGGTATGGTTATTTAGTAGTTTTTGAAATTGAATTTTACTTTTACTTTACTTAACCACATGAAGGCCAGTCTCCAAGAGGTACATCCATAATTTATTTGTTGGTGCTGGGTAACCATTATCTGCCCTGAAAGACAAAAATATATCTGCACACCACGTACTCAGGTTGTTTATTCTTAATGGATGTCCAACTAACGAGTTGTCAAAGTTCTCTCAATGACACAATGTTTCTAGGGCTGCCCCTGACTAAAGGTGTTTCTAGTCAACTAGTAGTTGTTGAATAAAGCCAATAGTCGACTAGATGTTGCACGTTTGTGATATTAATCTAATTATTTAAATAAAAACACCAGCAAAATCAAATGTTCTGGTCCAGAATGAAATATCTCAACAATTACTGGATGGGTTGCCATGAAATTTGGTCCAGACATTCATGTTCCCCATCAGGATTAATTGTCATTTTGGTGATCCTCTGACTTTTTCTTCTAGTGCCATCATCAGGTCAATATTTGAATTTGTCCAGTATTTCAGTTTCCAACTAAATAGAGTGCCAAAAAGTTTTGACAGATCACTTTGAAATAAATTTAAACATTTTGCCTCAGTGACCTTATAGTAGGAATGGTCATGTTTTTGTATATAGTAAAATATATTTTTATCCAGTTACCAGAGGAATGCTTTCTGGTGTTGGCCTTCTCTCCCTCCATCGTGGCTGCTCAGCTGACATTATTACCGCCTACAAGGAGTTTAATTATGAGAGACTGTCAGGAAGAGTCTGTAATGATCACTTTGTCACAATTGATGGGCTCTTCTGTGACACATCGACGGCAGTATATGACTCCCTAAATGGTTTCTTCCCTCAAACCCACACATCAGTTTGTACTGTTTGTCTACACGTTCCTCTAAGGAGCTGAATGTTATAGGGATCATGTAAACACTCGCACATCTACTAGCAAAGTAGATAATTGTTTCAGAGCGCCTGAAACAATCAGGAAGGAAAACTGCATTGTGTTTACATCAAAGGAGGCACACAGACACACAGAAAAGCAGCAACAACTAATTAACTAATCATGTTTGCACTATTTTTGGGTATCAGACTCCGCTTCTGCTGTAGCTGTAGTCAGCTTTGATTCACAACAATACCATTCTTAAGCCCGGCCCCTTTTTGCTCTGTGCTCCAGTAACAGTTGAACAAGCCTCAGTGTCCTTTCTCGTACGTAGATATGCTATGTGCTAGGCTAATCTATGTTGAAAAGACAACCACATACTGAAGATGGTGAACAAATATACATATATATATGTCACTTTATTTATATGTGTGTGTGTGTGTGTGTGTGTATATATATATATATATGTAGGTAAAAATATACCTGCACACCGCTAACTCAGGTTGTTTATTTTTAATGGAATCACAATCAAAATCAGAAATACTTTAATAATCCCAGGGGGAAATTATTTCATAAGGATGTGACATGTCCAACTAACAATGAGTTGTCAAAGTTCTCTCAATGA